ACTCACTGGGGCTCCCACCCCCTCTGGAGCCCACCTCACCACCTGTGTTCTCTCGCTTGTTCCAGGGCCCCCCGGAGGCCCCGCGGGCCCCGAAGGTAGACAGGGAGAGAAAGGAGCCAAGGTAAGGAGCCCCGCACCAGAGGGCACAACTGGGACACAGAGGTGGTGGTCTGGGCTGCGGAGAGGCCAGGTGGAGCCGTGGGTGGTGGCCTGGGCGTTGGGGTCTGTCTGCCCATGGGTCTAAGGGAAGAGGAAAGGAGTCGAGAGACCCCTGAGCTGAGGCTTATGGGCGGCCCTTGACCTCGGATACCGAGCCCAGTGTGGGGCCTGGTACCCAGGCAGTGGGTCTGTTCAGTGAGTGAGTTCATGGCCAAGATCTGGGCAGGCACCACTGGCCTTCCCTTGGAGAGACTCCTTGTCATCAAGTGGGACAGCAGTGGTGCTGGTCCCGCTGGGAGGTAACTGCCAAGACCCACTGTAGTGATTGGCATGAGCAGCGGGAGATGGAATCACTTGGCTTAGGAAATTAGTGGGGTGGGCATTGGCCAGGCAGCCACTGGGAGGAAGGTAGGAAGCCTTGGGGGCAGCCCCGGATATCTGGGGGTCACCCAGGGTTTCTGAGCAGGTGTCCTGGGCCAGGTGCCTGGAGCAGCTGAGCACCCAAGTCCCACTTCCTCTGCAGGGAGAAGCTGGCTTGGAAGGCCCTCCTGGGAAGACTGGCCCCATTGGCCCCCAGGGGGCCCCTGGGAAGCCTGGGCCAGACGGCCTTCGTGGGATCCCTGGCCCAGTGGTGAGTGGACTGGGCAGGCCAGGAAGGGGGAGGAGGGTTGCCAAGAGCAGGACCAGGGGTACCGGCTCACACCGGGGGTCTCCATTTCAGGGTGAACAAGGTCTCCCAGGATCCCCAGGCCCTGATGGACCACCTGGCCCCATGGTGAGTGACATCCCTGCAGTGTGTATGGGGAGGGTGGGTTAGGGGATTTGCCACCAGAAGACCCTGGGATAAGGACTCTAATCTCTCTGCCTCCTCCTGCAGGGTCCTCCAGGACTTCCTGGCCTCAAGGGAGATTCTGGACCCAAAGGTGAAAAGGTGAGTAGGGACTTCAGCAGTAGCCCTGGCTCAAGCCCAGCAAGCCTCAGTCTACGCCCTGCGGCCCACTGTGCCCAGAGTGCCTGGCGGAGAGAGCAGGAAGGATACACACAGCCTTCAAGGCTTGTCCTGCCTCCAGGGGCCCCAGGAGACGTGGATAGCTCCTCAGAGACCCTTGCCTTGCAGAATGACCAGAACCTTCTGGCTGGGCACAGAGGTCCTGGCTGGAGGGCATCCAGGACCAAGGCAGTAGGCACTCACTCAGGACACATCCACACCCGTGCTGCGGGGTGGCACTGGGCTGGGCAGCGTTACTCTTGGTGGTGACCTCCTCCTCCACTTACGTTCATTTACAAACATCAAGCTCACTGCCAGCGGAGGTACCTGGGGAAGGCAGCCGGCTCGCTCCTCTCCCCACATCTGCCACCAGCTCACGGCTCCCCACCCCCCAGGCCCTGCATAATGGAAGCTGGAGGGACCCTTCCAGGGCTCTCCTGGGGCTCATGGGGAGCAAACCCACGTACAGAGCAGGAATTGTCCCATTGTCCTTTCAAGATGTGACGAGGGATTATAGCATCCAGTTCTCTGTAGCTCCGCTTCTGGTACAAGTTTAGTCTTAGGTCTTTATAGGGAAAAGCGTGTGTTTCCTCTGGATTTTTGGAAGGCGTGTGAAGAGCCACACGGTATTGCTCAGAGAAGCCCTTTGTCACCGGTTCCCGTGTCCAGGTCTGCATGTCTGTCTCTTGGGGTGGTTCTCGTCAGACCTGGCACCCAATGTGTCTTTTGAAATTATTTCCACTCCTGCATACATTGATGGTGACACGGTGACTCGTGCCCCTGGGCATGGCTGTGCCACCACATTCCTAGGCCTGCTAGGGTGGACTTTGGGTAGTGCCACCACACACAAACACTCTTTCATGCCTATTTCCTGACAGGGTCACCCAGGCCTGATCGGACTCATTGGCCCTCCAGGTGAACAGGGTGAAAAGGGTGACCGAGGCCTCCCTGGCCCCCAGGGCTCATCTGGGCCTAAAGGAGAACAGGTGCGTGAGGTGGAGCTCCCTGTAGCCCCTGCTGTCCCCAGGGCTGAGGGCCATCATTGTCTTCAGGGCTCAGTCACCCGCCTTTCACAGCGGGACAGTGAGGTTTGGGCTCACCCAGGTCCACGGGAGCTGGGCACACGGCCCCTAGCCCTGCCCTGATTGCAGACAGGTGCCCCTTACTGCTCTGGTGGCCTTGCTGCGGGAGGGACTCAGAAGTCTGCCCTTCCCACCTCCCACTGATGTGCAAGAGCACGTGGCCAGCTCATCCCCAGGAGCCTTTGCGACTGCAGCCTGTGTCCCTGCGTGGAGGGGAGTGAGTCACGTGTGTTCGTGCCATCTTGCCCAGGTGACCACTCCAGCTCTCTGGTCACACTGCAGCTCATTGGAGTTTGTAGCCCCCAGCAAGCCACCATAAAGACCCTCGCCAGGGGCTTCATCCCCTGCCATTGTGAACCCCTGGGACGTGGCCACAGGAGGGCAGGAGGAGAAGGACCCAGGCCTGGGAAGGGTGACGTGCTCCTCAGAGGCAGAGGAGGGGACTCGGTGCCCCTGGGCATGGCTGTGCCACCACACTTCCAGGCCTGCTAGGGATGGACTTTGGGACTGCCACTGCACACAAATGCTGCCCTAGCTCTTCTCCCAGGGAAGGCAGCGTGTCCTGGTTCCAGTGTGGGACTCTCCACTTCCCCAGCTGTGTGACAGGCTGCACACCCGGGGACCTTGCTCACCTCCACCCCACCTTGTCCAGAGGATGGCAGGACATGGGGTCCAGCAGGGAGTGGCGAGAGCCCTTGAGGCTGGGGATGAAGCTGCACCCGTCCTGGAGCCTGTGACAGATGTGGGCAGCTCCTCAGAGACCCCTGCCTTGTGCCCAGCGTTGTTCTGTCATGGCCTTGGCCATCTTCTGACCACTCAGTGTCCCCTGGACATGACCACAGACGTGGAGGAGAGTTGTTCTGTGCATGGTGGCACGTGGCCATGAGACTTAGACATTCAGGGTCCCCATTCCAAAAGGATGGCTGCCCTGTGCCCACCTGTCCCCCCAGGTGCTCTTGGTGACTCCTGCTGACAGAGGATGTCTGCACTGTGGTACAGGCTCCAAGTCATGGACTCCTAAGAGGAGCCCCCATCAGGGGTCCAGGAGAGGCATGTGCCCTCCTGGGGAAGGCTGGCTATGACCTTCACCACCCTGGCTGCAGCCCAAATGCCAGCAGGATGTCTTTGGGACACAGATCTCCAAGTGGAGACAGTGGGATTGGGTGGAAAGTAAAGGGGGGGGGGGTCTGTGGCACCAGGTGGTCAATGAGAGAAGTCATTCTGCACCAGCGGGGCCTGAGTTTCATGGGAAGGGATGGTCAGAGGTCACACAGGCTGGACAGGGTGGGACACATGGGGCCCAAAGCACTCCCGGCCCTCCCTGCCCTGCCTCTGCCTTGTTGTGGCAGGGGGACTTGGGGGACAGGACCATGGACAGGAGCAACAAGAGAGACCAAGTGTGTGACAGAGTGTTGGACTGGTCATTCTGCATTCCAGTGGGACAGGGCTGGAGCAGCCTAGTGTGGACAGGGCAGTGGGGCTGGGCACGGCCAACCCAGGCCCAGCGAGAAGAGACGTCTGCTCTTGTGGTGCAGCAGCCCCCACATCAGAGGGCAGCTGCCTGCACTGCAGAGGGGCAGCCAGGGGCTTGGGGACCCCCAGGCCCGGCGGGTCAGGGCCCGCTTCCTCCGCCCATCCCTGTCTGAAGGCCATAACTGCTCTTTCTTCTTCTTTTCAGGGTATCACTGGTCCTTCGGGCCCGATTGGCCCCCCTGGGCCCCCTGGCTTGCCGGTGTGTATCTGTGAGGGGCCCGGGGTCCCTGGATTGTTCTGTGGGGAGCAGAGAGGCTGGGGTTACAGGGAAGTTACAGAAACGGGGTCCAGGGTTGACACGTTGAACCCGCACTGGGCTCCGGGAGGCAGAGGCTTAGAAGTGGGGTTGATGGCCCTGACTGGGGACGGGAGGCAAGGAGGGGCTACCTCTATAGCTGGGCACCCAGGGGCTGTGGAAGCTGTCTGTAGGCATGTGGTGAGGGTGAGGAAAGTAGTGTTTGGGCAGGGCCAGCCTGGCCAGGTGTGAGCTGGGCACCCACCCTCAGCACCCTAGACTGGGCCTCCCTGGTGCTGGGGAGAGCCAGCCCTGCCAAGGCTCTCCCACAGCCCTGAGCCTGTCCTCACCCACCCCGTCTGAAGGTTAGGCCCTGGTCCATATGCCCAAGGTGGAGGCCCTGGCCACGGGCCTCTGGGTGCTGTGGGGTGATGGTACATCATCAGGCACTCTCCACTCTTGTTTGGAGGCCACCAGAGTTGTCATTTCCCAGCTGGGTGGATGGGCAGGCTGACCTGGGCTGAGCAGGACAGGGACCGGAGCAGCTTCCCCTGCTAATGCCTGACCTCTACTCCCTGCAGGGTCCGCCAGGTCCCAAAGGTGCTAAAGGCTCTTCGGTAAGTGGAGCTGCCTAAGGCCCCACCTGGGGAGCTGCTGGGGGAGGGGAGGAAGCGAAGTCCTGGGATGAGGCCCCTGCACCCTACCCTGCCCGCTCCTCCTCCTGTCTCTCCCCATTCCCCACTGTGCGTCGTGACGTAAAGATAACCTTTAGTTTTGGGGTTTGGGTGTGTTTTTTTTTTTGGCACTGGGGATTGAACCCAGAGTTGCTTAACCACTGAGCCACATCCCCAGCCCTTTGCTTATATTTTATTTAGAGACGGGACCTTGCTAAGTGATTGAGGCTGGCTTTGAACTCATGGTCCTCCTCCTCAGCCTCCCGAGCCACTGGGGTTATTCCTTTCGGTTTTTTTAAAGACAGAAATTATATTGCTGCACTTACTGGGTTTTCAAAATTAATTATTATTCTAATCGTACAAACGTATGGAGTGAATGGTGACCATTCGAATCCAGGTGTTCAGGGTGTGATGATAAACTCACAGCAGTTAGCGTTTCTGTCCACCTGAGCGTTTGTTAACCCTTTGATGGCATGTGGTCACTGCCTGGTCGGGTCAGAGCGATGCTCCAGCACATGGCACAGAGCTTCCTGCTCAAACCTGTCCGTTTTCACTAAGGAGGTGTAGGTGCCGTGGACGGGTCCCGTGCTGTGGGGCACCGGCAGGTCTCCTCTGCCTCGCTGTGCTGGGCTCTGAGGTCCTGGCCCACGTCCCCAGCCTTTAGTAGTCGCTGCTCTGTCCACGTTGACTCCACTAGCATCACACATACGAGGGCGGCCACGGGGCATTGGCCTTCTGCACCTGACAGTCTCCCATATTGCAGTGTCCCCAGCTCCACGGAGCCCTCGCGGCCGATCATGCCCCTGAGCACACGTGCCTGTGCTCTTTACCCTCTGGCCCATCGATGGGCACCCAGGTCGGCTCTGCTCTGAGCAGCACTGAGCAGCCGCCGTGGGCGCGGGGCCTGTGTGTGCAGAGCAGGGTGGCTGGGTCGCAGGGTCAATCTGCTGTCCACTCTCTAGGGAGCCTCCTCTGTTCTCCACGAAGGCTGTGCTGGTCACACTCCCAGCAGCCGAGGCCAGGGCTCCCTTTCTCTGCCTCCTCTCCAGGGGCGGCTGTGTTATCTTGTGATAGTGGCCTTCTCCCTGGTGGGCTGAGACGGCGTGTGATTTTGACTTGACTTTCCCTGATTCTGATGAAGGGCTCACCAGCCATTTGAGTTTCTTCTCAGTGTCCCCTTCTGACTTCTTGAGCTGCCCGGCACAGCCGGCCCCAAGGTGTCTGGGCTGCTCCTCCTTCTTGGAGGACACTGGCCCCAGGTTCCCTCCTCAGGTGTTCAGGAGAGCAGAGCCCTGCCATCCTTGTCCCCACCCCCACCTCCACACTGGTTTCCAGACACTTCTGGAGCCCTAGGGGACATGTCGGCTCTTGTCACACTTCTGTGACCAAGGGTTTTTTTTGTCTTTCTCTCCAGGGTCCCACTGGCCCGAAGGGTGAGGCAGGCCACCCAGGACTCCCCGGCCCGCCCGTGAGTAGCCTGTGACGTGGGGGAAGTGGTTGGGACTGGAGGGACGTGTGTTCACGAGGCTCCTTCTGAAACATTGTGGCACCCACGTGGCATGCCCAGGGCCTGTCATGGGACACAGCAAGGGAAAATGAGTCACACGAGGCCACATACAGGCCGCACAACCAACTCACCCCCAGGAAGAGCTGCCCAGGGGAGCGGGAGGGCATGCATGTGTGGGGTGCCTACGTGTGTGCGTTTGTTTGCCTGTGGGTGTGTGTGTGCATTCGTGAGTGTGTGCAGGTGTGTGCCGGGCACTGGGTAAGGCTCCAGAGGTGCAGCGGAAGCTCCCTGTGACCTGGGGTGCGGGAGCCTCCTCTGGGCCATGCTGACTCGGCACCCAGGTCCTAGTGCGGGGTGCCTCCTGGACGCCATGTTTCCCACATCAGCAGGCCTTTATGTGGCTCCACTGTGTGCAGCCCCACGCGGGGCCACAGAGAGGAGGAGGGAAGTCCAGTCCCTCTCCTGAGGCTTGGCTCCTAAGGCAGCCAGGGACAGTAGACAGAGGCGAGGCCCTGAGCTGGTTCCCAGGACTCTGCAGAGAAAGGGACGTGCTTGGAGGGGACGTGCAGTGCAGGCGGGAACCTGCAGAGCAGATGGGTGAGGGGAGAGAGCCACGCCGAGGGCAGACGTCCAGCCAGTCCAGGACACCGGCCCGAGGGGCCCGGCCTGGCTGTGGGGCTCCATCCTGGCCCAGGACCTACTCCTCCCCCTCCACTCACCACTGCCCTCCTGCACCCCAGGGCCCCCCGGGTGAGGTCATCCAGCCCCTGCCGATCCAGGCGTCCAGAACTCGCCGGAACATCGACGCCAGCCAGCTGCTGGACGATGGGGCAGGCGAGAGCTACGTGGACTACGCCGACGGCATGGAGGAGGTCTTCGGATCGCTCAACTCGCTGAAGCTGGAGATCGAGCAGATGAAGCGGCCGCTGGGCACGCAGCAGAACCCCGCCCGCACCTGCAAAGACCTGCAGCTCTGCCACCCCGACTTCCCAGACGGTGAGGGCTGAGGGGCGCCTGACCCACGGGTGCCCGGGCCAGGACAGTCACCTCCCGGCTTCAGCTTCCCCATCGGTGGGAGGACATACTGGCTGTCCCCTTGCCAACTTGTGGAGGCCACAGGGTGAGGTGACAGGTCAGAGGAGGCCAGGGAGAGAGGCCAGGCTCCCAGGCGGGCCAGACCTGGATTCTGTCTCTCTTTGCCATTCTCAGGGGGGTACCTGCCTTGCCCTGAGCCTTGTCATTCCAGGTCTGCAAAATAGGGACAAAAACCTCTTCCTGTGAGAGGACAGGTAAAGGGGGCATTGCATAAGATGCCCGTGGCCTGGCACTGAGCAAGGGCTGGCCTGAGGGTCAGAATTTGTAGCCATTATTGGTGAGTTGTAAAGAATCATAATAATAATATAAAGAGGAGACAGAGTGCAGGGGCAGGAAGGTGGCAGAGTGGCTCTTTGTCCAGGTCACGTTTCTTTACACCAGTAGGCCACATTGGGTCGTTAGTACCATAACCACACTATTGTTTAGAGTACCAGGAAGGTTGCTTATTCTGCAGTTACATTTCACAGTTACAATGTGCAATGTCGGGAGCTTTGTGCAGCTCTCCAGAAGGTCCACTGTCTGAAGTTACTGTTAGGTGGGCAGCTCCAGGAGCACCAGAGCTTGGTGAGATATTGTAGTTATGAAGCAAGCAAGTTCCTCTATTCCCAGGAGCTATGTGCCTAAGAGTAAGGTGGAAGCTGGTAAGACTTTAGCATGGAGGGCATTGCCATAGCAACCGGGCATCCTAGGCCTCTGCTCAGAAACTTTGCCATACCCTGAAGTCATCAGGGACCCTGGTCCTAAACACTGAACCCCTACAGTGAGTGGTCTACACTCTGGATCATCAGGAAATGCAGGTCTGTCTGGAGTCACAGGACAGGCACTAACTGAATGACACAGCCCCCGTGGCTGCCTCCCGGAAGACCCAGGGATATCTGTGGTCCCAGGAGACTCCCACTCCACAGCCATGAATTTCCAGAGCTCCCTCCAGAACATTCCCTGCCTTCCCATCATTAATGGTCCAGCTACCTTCCCCTGGTCACCACACACCTGCCCCGTGTGCTTCCTGCTGTAGCTCTGTCCTTGGTGGACACTCTGTCCCCTCTCTTAGGGCCCCAGCAGGGAAGGCAGCACAAGAAGGCCTGCATTGGTGGCCCTAGCTGCTCTGTGATGCCAGACTGGGGTGTTGAAGCAGCTTCTGGAACTGTCCGGGAGCAGTCCTCACAAACCCACCTCCCTTTCTCTGAATCCAGGTGAATACTGGGTAGATCCCAACCAAGGGTGCTCCAGGGACTCCTTTAAAGTCTACTGCAACTTCACAGCCGGAGGGTCGACGTGCATCTTCCCAGACAAGAAGTCTGAGGGGGTGAGTACCCGCCTCGCGCTGTGGCCCAGTGGGCCTCGGTCTCACGGCAGGGCCAGGCCAGGGTTTAGGTGCTTCAGGGTGCACAGATTTAAGGCTGAGAGCCAGAAACCCAGAAGAAGACCTAAGTTGCTTTCAGAAGAGGTCTTGTGGCTTCAAGTGGGCACGAGCCTCCTCGGGCTGTGCAGGTGGGAGGACAGTAGTCTCTGCCTGGGGTTCACCCTGGGAGCCAGCCGCCTTTCCCAGGTGACCTGTGTTTCCTGATACTGGCCTAAAGCCCAGAAAGGACATTTGACACAGGTGTGATGAAATGACCCCAAGACATCCTCAGGAAGCTGCTGTGTCCCCGAGTTCCTGGTGCCAGCTCTTTCCCAGGGGACTCGCTCTAGGCCTCCTGAGGGCAATGAGCTACCCTATAGTCTGGGGGCAGGTAGCAAGGTCTGAGTTATTAAGTATTCATCTCTGTGTGACTCTGTCCTGCGTGGACACGTGTGGGCAGGGTGTGGGTGAGTGTGCATGCAAGGGGTGCGTCTGCCCTGCTGCTAGCTGAGAAGAAGACCAAGACTGCAGCCTCAGGGGACAGGTGCTCCTCCTCAGCGTCCCCCAACACAGCTGGTGGGTGTCACGTGCCCTTTTCTGGAGACCACAGCAGGCTCAGCACCATGAGCCCCATGCAGCTTCCTAAGGGCCTCAGGGCCTGAGCAGCAGTTTCCTGCTAAAGGGGAACACTTGAGTCCCCCCAGGGCCACTGCCCCTCACTCCCCAAAGCACTCCGCAAACAAGCCAGCACCAGCAGCCCCTTGGGTCAGATGCCGTGGGCAGCAGCAGGAGCTGGAGCATGGCTGGAGGTTTCTGGGCGCCTGTGTTCTGATCCACCGTCCCCCTAGCTGGCCTTCCACACCCTGATCACCTGCCTTCCCAGGGACAGACCTGGGCTTGGAAGAGAGACAGACAGGCAGTTGGCACCGAGACCTCCCTCGTGTGGGGAGGTCTTCTTCTTTCCTTCTTTCAGACAGAGGCCCAGAGTGACGTTTCTCCTCCTCCTCTGCTCTGTCCTCTGCCAACAGGGCATCCACTCCCTAACCCAGGGCAGACAGACCTCTCTGGGTGGTACTGGGCCACCGCAAACGAGCTGGAGCAGGTTTGAAGCAGAGGCTGGGGGTCCCTGTTCAGGGGAAGCTGCTCCCACACCTGGGCTTGGCCCTGACAGGCAGATTTGGAAAGGAGAGTGGGGCTGGGGCTCTGGGCAGGGCAAGCAGCCTGGACACCCTTTCCCCCAGCAGGTGCCCTTTTCTGGCTCCTGGGACAGGGCCAGCTCAGAGGCGCCAGCCCAGGCAATGACTAAGGATTCTAACTGGTGTCTCTTCACCATGAGTCCCGTGGGCTGGGTCCTGGCCACAGGTCCCTGAGGGACCTAGTCAACCCAAGCTCGGCCCCAGCTGGCCCCGAAGGCTCTCAAAACTATAGAGCTGGACATGTGTCCTCGGAGAAAGGCCTCGCTCAGCCATCCACCCACTCGCTGTGCCCACTGAGCCCAAGCCACTGGCCAGACCTGGGCACCTGTGGCCGCAGCCTCTGCAGAAACAGTCCTCTCTCCAGAGCCCCCGGGAGGGGGCAGCAGCTGTCCCTGGGTGCATGCTGCGAGCCCAGGAGACATCCCACACAGCCCTGCTTCTGCTGTCACAGCAGACCCAGGTGTGGCCGCAAAGACCCACAGGCCCCAGAGGACCCAGCACACACACACTCACACACCACACACACACACACCACGAGCACGACACCATGTGCACGTGCAACACACACACAGTGGGTCTGTCTGTCCCAGCACCAGCTCCTCGGCAGTGGGGAGGAGCGAGGTGCCCACCCCAGCCCCTCGGTCACACTGGCTCTCATCCCGGCTCTCTGTCGTGGTCTGAGGGTCTGCCGTGTGCTCGTCCACCCCCAGCTCTGCGTGTGCCCACTGCTGACGTGCAGTGTGCGGCCGACACTGGCTGCATCAGCACTGGTCCCTGGATAGCTGGAGCTGTCACCCTGCCTGACCACCAGGGGCCTCAGCTCTTGGGGTGGGCAGGCGCTCCCCAGGGGACCCCAGGGGCCGGGGAGAACGGGGGCCGGGTCCAGGAGGCAGGAGAAGTAACCCTTTCATCTTGTTTCTCTCCCTCCCCCTGCCCTGCCCGACATGCAGGCCAGAATCACTTCTTGGCCCAAAGAGAACCCGGGTTCCTGGTTCAGTGAATTCAAGCGTGGTAAACTGGTAAGGTGGCCTCTTTCTCCTTGGCGGTTGCCACTTTAAACCCGCCCGTCTCCTATCTTGCAGAGTAAAATGGCCCGCTGGCCCAAAGAGCAGCCTTCCACCTGGTATAGTCAGTACAAGCGGGGCTCCCTGGTAAGTGGCCGCCTCGGCTGCCTGCTTGCCGCTCGGCCTGGCTCACGGCTCTGCATGGACTGCTGCCGCCAGGCCACACCTGCTCTTCCATGTCCTGTGATGTAGGCTCCGAGGGTGTGGAGCTCCTTCTGCGCTCCTGTCCCCCTGCTCCCAACCAGAGCTCATCCCAGCCTGGCAGTAGCTGATGGCAGTAGCTGAAGGGGTTGAAACTCGGTGCCACAACTGGGTGTGGGCAACAAGCCTGGGCTGCCAGGCTGCCCACAGAAGGCACAGCCCAGG